TTTCTTTGCGATGTGCATTGATCTTTGAACAGCAGAAGACAAATGTGTCTGCAGATATGGGGATGAAGCCAGAATCCCACTAGGCACAGCACTGCAAAGTTGTGAGTTAGCCTCAAGTGGATTCAAAAAAGGTGTTGAAAACCTGCCATTAAAATGGAAGTATGTTCATCCATGAAGGGGTGATACGACTGAAGGTGAGCCAAAAGTGTGTGCTTCGCAGCAAGTTCAAACCTTTGCACTTTCAGTTTAAACAAAACAAACCTAAGGTATATAGACCCAAAGCCATAAGGCTGCTTTATATGTTCATATGTAAGAGCTGCAAGGATCTGAATGGAAAGGCTCATGATCACCACCACTATGCCACCGAGTCCTGCACGCTATAATGTACAGAAATTATGTGGCAAAACAAAACTCTGTTAAATGAAGTGTTAATTACATATAACTATATGATTCCCCAAAAGAAAATGGCTAACTGAACAACTAACAGTGCCTTCCTGTATCCTAAGAAGTCTATCTTCAAAGTTTACCAGGGCAATGCCTTTCGTAAAACGAGAAAATATATTGCGTAGTCTGCTGAATTTAGATCAGGGAGACTGAGGTCCAAACTTTTCCTCATTACTGGATGATCTTGAGTTCGTCATATTCCCCCGCTCTAACTACCCCATCACAAACAAGGTTTTAGCAAGGATATAACAGGAGAAGGACCGCAAGATTTTGCAAGAGGTATAGGATAAAAATGTACACAAATGAGCAAATAAACCCTTCCTTTCCTTTCCTTTTGATCAGTAATTCCTAAGCCGTGTGCTTGTGAGCCATAAGGAATAAACCAAGCATTTGTGAAGAAGCCCTCACACAAGAGGCTGCCTGCTGCATCTTGCCATGATTCACTCACGGCTCGGGCCTAGCTTTCTTCCACTCAGCTTCTGGTGGTGGTGGTGGGTGACCTAACAAGAAACACAGCCATTATCCACCCTTAGGAGAGACTACGAGTTGCTGTCTCCTCCCAAGCATCAGAAACAGCATCACACACAGGGAGAGACAGTCTTTTAACATATTTTGAAAGTAAAGTTTTTTTAAAGTGCAAGGCAGGTCTTCGATAGGAATTGAGAAAAAGGGGTGCCGTTTGAAATTTGT